CACACACACACACACACACACACACACACACACACACACACACAGCCCTCAATCTTCTCTTCAGAACCTTAGTTGGAGATTTGTTTGCCATTGTTTTTCCATTTCCATAGTGTCGTGTTGCAACCCTATTTCTATATTAATAAAAGGTTGCTTTCATGTTCCGATAAATCCTGACTAGTTTCAGTATCAACCTAAGACGGCGCTGAAGCGCGCACTTCATGCACCCGCGTACCTAAAATTTACTATTGATGAAGTCTTAATCAATGATTAAATCTATGATAATGAATTTTAAATCAATATCAAAGGTTATCTAAACTGAATGATTAAATTTCCGTCAAAAACAAGAGATTAATGCAAACAAATATGTCCCATTAAGAGTAATAAAAAAATTGTCACGAAAATTGGCCTGATTACGCAGTGTAAAAACAAGAACCATCCTCCTCAAATTTTTTTGAAATAAAATCATTTAAGCATCAATCATAGAGTACCAAATTGAACAGATGGAATCAATCAAGAGCAAATTACAAATATGCTATATTCAAAACACTATCCTGATAACAATAATTTCTCTATTCCACTTACCAATCAACTTCAGCTATATTTGGACGTTTAATTGAAAACATTAAACTTCTAACCATTCCTTGAAGTAAGACTGCATCTTCGCACGATTAGCATAATTGCCAACATTAACCGTTGGAATGATTTTCTCAGGTTTCAAAAACTGGTCAAGGAGAACGATAGGATCAGATATTGAGAAAGCAATTCAAGACTAAGAAAACAAATGTACCTTCACAAATTCTCTAAGTTCCGTAAAACTTGAGTGCTCGCTATAGGGAACCCCTGCAACACATAAAGTGTTAAACAGCAATACAAAATTGAGAAAACAAATGTACCTTCATGTAGCTATCGCATCATTAACAACATCAAACATAAGTATTTATTATAAAAAATTAATTCATTCCTCTACTTGCACAATCTCAATCCACTCATGTTAGACTTGAAATAAATTGCTATGCACAAGCAAAAAGATAAGAAATTAAGTTTAAGAAAAAAATTTAAGAAAAAAAATATAATTTCTAAAATATCCTCATTTTTAAAACCGTTAACTTTAATTTCTATTAGTTTAGATGATAGGACTATTTTAGTAACTACCTAAAAAATTTATGGACTACATCAGATCTTTTATATAATTTAGGACGAAAATAGGACCTCACAGATAGTCAAGTGATTATTTCAATCATTTTATCATTTATATAAAGTAATTTCATACAGTAAAAATCTTCCAAAAATAAAAAGAGAAATTTCCCCACATTATGGATCCTCCTCTTTAGAGTAAAGAAATGCAAAATTCGCATGTTGTCATAAAAAAGGCTTCATAATCATTTTATGGTCATGAAACTACATGTTATGAATTAGTTTTATATGTTCCTTCAGTAAATCAAGTTTTGTAAGCCTTGAAATATGCTCAGAAGTTAAGGATTTGCCTTCATATATGAGGTCTAGATAAATCTCTCCACCAATAAACAAGGTAACCAATCCATGTCATTAAATACATCAATGTAATAAAAGTATAATTTCTTTTTAGAGTTAGATTATAACCAATATCTAAAGATGAAATGCAGTGAAGAGATTATGCTTCTAGATAATATATAGAAAGAGAGAATTTTTAAGTTTCTTGCAAAGCTAAATATATAATTTGATCAAGTATGCGTCCAAATCCTGGGCAAATAGATCAGTCTCGCTTAATGAAGCCTTATTCCTTATATGGGCAAAATCAAACAAAAAAATATTGTTACATAGGAAACACCCAACTCAAAATGATTGATTATGACAATCACAAAATCTCAAGGTGTTGGACTGATTACCATTGAGCCCTCCAGAAATATTGGATAAAAATTGCACCAAAAAAGCAACTTAAGGTGCAACTGCTACAAGAAAGAGCATGATAAAAATCTGTTGGAAACTCCACAAGAGACCTTATGGTTGTGACAAATATAAAAAAGGTCAATCAACAGAACATATTCATTTCATGGATACTATAGGGCTCAACTTGAGAGGAAATTAAGAACTAAGGGACCTTTTCAACTATCTAAAAACACTATCAAGATCATGCTGTATAGCTAAAATAGTGTAATTTCTAATCCTTGTACTATCAATTAACATAGGTTCCATTGAAAACAAAAAAACTCAGCCAGTATCTTTCAAATTTGCCAATCTTGTTCTTAGAATGGAAAGATTTTAGCAACTAGGTAATTAACATTGGTTCCACTGATGACTTCTCAACTATTACTGTAAGATGAGCACATTTCATTTTTAGATTTTACTAACTTTTAGTAATATTTAAATATCCTTCATCTTGTTATTCATATAATAATCCATGATCACAACTTCAATGTTACAGTTCTTACTAATCATTATTTTTTCAGAACCCAAATATAGAGAAAATGCTTGTGCGACTAGTTAAAAGAATAGGTTTTACATATTTGAGGACAATGGTAGTGACAATCATTCATATCTTTCCTTAATTTATATTTTTAATCAAGATATTATTTGAAATCGTTCTAATAGATTGGGTCATCTTACTTGTAAAAATCTCAAACGTATGTTTTACTCATTTAAAAATATTAATATTAAAAATTTCATTGTGAAGCTTGTGGAATTGTTGGGCATCAAATAGCATCTTTTATTCAAGTGTCTCCCAACCATCTACTCATTTCATGTTATTCCACTCTGATATTTGGATAACTTTAAAAATCCGTAATATCATTCAAGATAAAGGATTGATAATAAATTGATTATACTTGAATGATATGAATTTATCTTTATCAAAAAGAAAAAATCCAAAGTCAGCCATATTCTCACAATCTTTATCACCATGATAATAACTAATCTGGTTTCAGTGTTAAAAACACAAAACCAATAATTCCAAAATTTATTTGAACCAAACTTAATCCTCTTCTCTTCAGCAAAGAAGGATTTATTTTCTAATCTTCATTTCCCAACATCTCACAGTAAAATGGAGTTGCTTGAATAAAAATTAGGACAACTTGAGGTTAACAAGACTATTCTCTTTCAAAATAATGTTTCCAAATGATATTGAAAAGAAATTATCATATCCTCAACATATTTAATTTATGGGAAACCTTCTAGAGTAATTGAATTCAAAAGTCTCTTGAACTAGCTCATTGAATTTTTAACTTGAATATATTTGTTCACAAAATTCCTCAAACAATATTTTAGGTGTCTTTTGTGTACATTCAAAAATAAGAATGAGATAAATTGACTCGTATTCAATTAAGTGTATTTTTCAGAATATTTATGCACTCAAAAAGGATATCAATAATATCAACAAACCACAAAATATTATTATTTTAAATGACATCACATTTATCGAACTATTCATTTCTTAATCAAAATCTATACAAGAACAAAACCCATCCAATCTCTCCTGCAAACTCAACTATCAAAATCCATGTCAGTTAACCCTCCTACCTTACCCAAGAATGATCATGTACAACCTATCGCTATACAAAATGATACAGAACGTTCCATATATCACATGACTCAATATACATCCTTTAAAACTTCAAAACAAACTCAAAGAGCCTTCCTTACAAATACCAACACCATTAAAATTCCATAAATACCATTCGATGAATTTGAAAATAAGAATTGGAAGATAGGCCATAAATGATAAGATAACTTCAATGATAAGATAACTTCAAAAAAAAAAAAACATCCCTAAAATATAGTGGAGTTACATGAAGGGAAAAGGTAATATTATGTTATAAGTGAATTTTTACATTAAAATATAAAGTGAATGGAAATACGAAGCCAAACTAATGAAAATAAAAAATAAATCCAATCTTATGAAATTGCCAATGGCAAACATTTACTCTAGTTGTAAAAATGAATATAACTTGTGTCATGATCTACTTGGTAGTTAACCTTGGATAGTTCATGTGACATTATGATGTAAAGATTGTCCTTTTGCATGGTGATATAGAAGGATCTTTTTTTTAAATCCCCACCACGATTCAGTAAGTTTTTTTCAAAAAGCTAAGTATGCAAATAAAAAGAAACACTACATAGATTGAAACAATCTCAAAGAATATGTTTTGAAAATTCAATAAAAAAGGGTATGCACAAAATTAAGTAGACTATAAGCTATTTATAAAATACCCTAGAAAAGATAGAATAATATTTTTTATCATAAAAGCTGAAGGCATAATTGTTACAAATAATGATGATAATGAAAAAAATACACTAAAAAACTCACTACATAATTTGAGATTAAATAACTCTACAAGCTTAAATACTTCATTGACATAGAAGTAACTCAATCAAAAAAGAGATAATTTTCTTATAGTAGAAGTACATTATAATCTATTAGGAGAAATAAATATAATAAAATAAAACTCCCTTGAAACTCAAATAAACTCAGGCTAAAAACTAGACAACAATGAAGAAGGAACAAAAGTCAATAATTGACAATGTCAAAGACTAGTTACAAAAAGAATCTACCTATGTCATAGTCACCATGAAATTGCATTTGGAGTAGATCTCGTAAATAAATTCACGCACAAACCAAAGGAAACTCACCTTGAGGCCACTTATAAAATTCTCAAATATTTAAAATTCAATCTTAAAAAAGATATTCTATTTAAAAAAAAAAAACATGACTATGAAGCTATATTGATACAAACTATGCAAGAGTACTGGTGAATAGAAAATAAGCATCGAGATATTGCACATTAGTTAAAAGAAATCTTATAACATGAAGAAGCTAAAAATAACCTGAAAAATCAATTACACAATCTGAGTATCAAGAAATTGTCCAGGAAAAATTGTGAACTCCTATGATAAAAAATTACACTTTAAGATCAAAAGATCAAATGAGAATCGCCTATAAGATTATACTATGGTAACAAGTTTGCTAAAAGCATTGCTCATAATCCAATATAACATGATCAAACTAAGCATGTGGAGGTAGATAGACATTATATAAAAATAAAACTAAAAAAGTAGGCTGATTTGTACTCCTTATAATCCAACATGTAATCAAATAGTTAATATATTCACTAAAGGGGTTCACCATCTTGCATTCAAAAATATCATCAACAAAATGGGAATGGCAAATCTTTTCCAACAAATTTAAGGGGGTGTATTTTTTTTACCACGGGACATAAAAGGAAACTAGGAGGCTGCTGATTGTTGCATCCATATGTAGAATTCTACAATCCATGAATTGTCAATGTGTAAGCATAAAAGTGAACAGATTCAAGGCATCCCTATCTATAATACACCTTAAATGAATGAGAAAGAGCATAAATTTTTGACATTCTCCTCTTTTCTAAATATGTTAATATTTTTTTTACCAACTATTTAATTTTAAAATTTTCATTTTTTTTAAAATATATAATAAATATTTGCAAGCATTATCAATCCTAGCAACATTATTACAAAAAAATATTTCATTTAAGATAAATTATTAAGAAAACTTCCCAAGCTCGAGACAAAATGTTGGCCTGATACTGCCCAAACAATCATACTGAGAAAAAAGTAAAACCATTTTCCCTAAAAAAAAAAAGCCAAATGCTAGCATAAAAAATAGCTATGCACAATACTTCTGTTATACTCTTAAAATGAGCATCAAAGATTGAAGTTGAACATTGAAAGTTACATTTCAAGGTGGCTTACCATATATGGTGACATCACCTTTCATGGCTGGTATGATTAGATCCAGATGGCTTGCAGTCCTCTCAGAGTACGTCCAGCCTGTAAAATGTTTTGATTCAGTAGAAACTGTAAGAAAAAGAAGATGAAACATTTGCAAAATGGAAAACTTAAATGGCTCACCTGTGGGACGAAATGCCAAAACAGTTTTGAATTGTTGCTTGCAGGTTTTCAGGTAGTCTTTTAGGTTCTGTGTTGTAACTTTATTAAGAAGTAAGCAGAGGGGAGAAGTCTTCAAAATAAAAAGTACAATTTAATCCAGACCTCATGGCGTAGACAAGAAATAGGTAAAACATGAAGTGGAGAACTCTCTGTGCATGAACAAAGCTTTCCGGAAAGTTCAGGCCAACCAAATGATTGCAAGATCTTTCTTCTGGAAGGGTTTGTATAAATTGGAACCTACAAAAGAGAGATATCTGTATTGACAGAGATACACAGTAAAACATGTTGATCATGACAAATTTAACCGGAAAATTAATAATCAATTAAAAAAGAACCAATAATGAATACAAAAATATTTGAGTTCGTGCTGACTAAATAGAATTCCATAATAATTAAATGTCAACATCATAAACTGCGTGACCTAGTCAAATGACCATGGCAGCAGCCTGAGAATGGCTAAAATCAATAAAGATATCAGAACGTGAAACAATATTTCAAAGTTAAAATTTGTTAAAGCATATAGAGATTTAAGAGAAAAGATGAGAAGTTTAATATATTAACTTTCAATTGTGCCTTCGTCTGTGGCTAGAAAATATATTCAGCCAAAACTATCCAATTAAGTTGACAAAACACTCCTTTTATTTATTTTATTTTATTTTATTTTTGCAGAGATCATTTCAGAATTGCTTACCCCTAAAGCCTGCGAAATTGCAAGATAAACTGGCTCCTTCCCAATGCTGTAAGCTCCAACAACGATCAGAGTTTTTGGGTGCTTAGATAAAAATTTAACAGTTGTCCTCACAACAAAAGCTAGAACATCATCTTTAGCTGGAAAGCTGAAAAAAATAGTGAGTTCATTGATTGACGATGAAAAAATATAGCAAGAAATGCTCAGAAAGATCAGAAAATCACCAATATCTAGGGTTGCAATATGTTGTATCCAAATAAAGCAAATTAATGTGATTATTAGCCAACAAAGGATACAGTTGCATGGATTTTGATGCCCTGAAATCTCCGGTGTGTAGATAGCACTTTCCATCCTTCAAGCGAAAAAAAATCAGAGCCGCACCAGGACAATGATTAGCTTCTAGCAAAGTCACTTTAATATCTTCAATAACATGCTCAGCATTAAGTTCTAGTGAGAAAACATATCTGCAACAATGGATAGCAAATGAAATTCTCATTGGCTATAAGTAGAATGTTTATAGAGATAATAAAAGAAATGCGCAACCATTTATTCATATTATGTAACAGCAGCTCTTACTGTGGATTTACTGAAAGACAGCTTTTCAGTAAGCGAGCTGTAAGGTTAGTGCAGTAAATATTTCCGTGCGACCATCTTTTGTTCAAGCCCCCATAGTGATCAGAATGAAAATGGCTCAAAAAATAAGCTGAACATCCATCAATTGCACCATAACGAAAGGCATCTACTGTAATAGATGTGCCTAAAAATAGCAGAGAGAATAATAATTAACAAACAAAAAATTTCTCAGGATAACTTTCTAAAGTAAAACTAGAACATGTAAACCCAACAGTCCATACTAATTGGTTGCAACTTAATTAAATAAGTGCTTATTAGTTGCACGATTAGAATTAATGACCATGCAGTCATTTAATCACATAATATATAGCTTAATTCTTTAAACCCATAATCTTTCAAACTCTTGGATTAACTAAGATGCCAATTGACAATGCTTTATACTTCTTCATTTTGTTTTATGGTTAGAAAATTATAAATTTTTTATGTGAATTGGTCACAGTAAGCAGACAGCAGGATTATCATTTTTTGGAAGGGTTATGGCTCGGTTTTTGTAAGGATTAAAGTGGCTTAAGACAATGGAAAAGCGTTGGGCATGTAAGAGAGAAAGGAAAAAGAGAAAAAATGATATGCTAAGATTAGAAAACATTAATTATGGTTGATTCACAAATAAATCCAAAAACTAGCAGCAGAAACTCTTGTAGAAACTAAATTTTTAAGGGGATCGGAGCTATTTTTCATTGAATCAATTGGGGTATAAATAATACATGAAATATTGCAGAAAAAGAAGGAAACACATAAGAAGACACTAAAAATTCCTCATTCAAGGCAGTAATGAACATCTCCTTAAGATATCTCCCTATTTGGAATCAAATAATACCACTCAAATTTGAATGATTCAATAAAAAAATTTTAATTGCTCCGCTCGAATTTGTGGTTTGGGCTGATTGAAATGGTTCTTAAATAATTTACTTTTATGTAACTTCAAATATTCCATTTATACTCACATGGTAGGCAGCACGATTTCTATAAAAAAAAATGACTAAGTTACAACAAACAACAACAAGCCTTTATCCTACTTAGTGGGGTACATGAATCATTTTTCTTTATTGTGTCATATTGAGTGTCATATTTTTATTTAATTCTAATAACTTAAGATCATTTTTTATACAATAAGGCCAAGTCTTTTTAAGTCTACCTCTGTCTTTCTTAACAAAAGTCAAATCTAAAACATCTACTCTCCTAACTGAATCACCAGATGATCTACGCTTAATGTGAACAAACCATCTAAAGATGACTCTCTGTAATCTTATCTGCCATTGGAAAATAAAACACAGAAATAGGTAAGGGAATGTTCGCTTTGAAATAAAAAGATGTACACAATTCCAAATGCAAGTTTTTGGAAAATAGTGGTGCTCGGTTTGAAGCAAAAGGAATGCAAAATTAAATTTTAATGAATTTTAAACACCCCCAATAGGTCATTTGTGTTGTATTAAGAGCCTGGTCAATTTGGCCGAGCTAAATACACTGCTAAGTTACCATCGTTGCTGCCACCCATAGCAGCCCGTCATCACCACCCATCAGCCACCGCTGGCCACCACTCATCAGCCACCATAGCCCACTCCAAGCAATGTTTGTCATCCATCATCGGGTCTTACATTAAATTCATTTTATTTCAAACTAAACAAAATAATAATAATAATCATAATAATAATCTCCTGCATTTATATTGCACCCAATCAGATAACTCTAAAACGTTTCAAATTTATTATAATCTTTTACTCTGCATTCTTTTGATTTTCAGCTTACCTAGCGGCCCTAAATCCATTTCTCATCATAAAGAAAAAAATAGCTTAGCAAAAGGCCCTAACCTGGAATCTTCTTATAGAATGGGCATGAACGTGCTCGATTACACCCATTACTCTCGCCCTTCCTTTCTCTAATCGAAGCCCTACCAGACGCAAAATCCCCAATGACACTCCGGCTCCTCTTCTTCGGTGTCGAATGAACACTGATCCCTGCCCTTTTCGATGGATTATTGATCCCCCAAACTTGGAAGAGATCCCGCTGGACGAGAATCTTCTTCTCCTTCTCCCCGTTCTGCCGGACCTCGCCGCCTTCATCCTCTCCCCGTTCTGCGAACTCGCTTGTCGTCGAGCAAACATCACCAACTGGTAAGCTCATTCCCTGTTCAACTTCTTCGCCGCGGCTTTCTTCATCTGACCAGATGGGGATGCCATTATCGTCAAGATCAATGAAAGAAGAGAGATCGTCTTCGTAGAACTCTATAGTCGAGGAGGCGGGAAACGACGGGAGGGAAGAATGGGATTGGGTTGTCCTCATCGTCCCTGCTAGTTCATTTGCACTGCCATCAGACTTGAAGTCGGCGGCGGGAAATCGGGATGCCTTATCATTAATCGATATTGTAACTTTTTTCTCTTTTTTTTTAAGGGTTAAATATAATATGGAAAATTTACACACATAACACCCAATGTATTTACATATCTAACACCCAAATTTTGATTTTTTACATCCAAAGCATCCTTTCAATGGAAAAAATGTAATCCACTTTATCATACATCTTTCAAACATTAAAAAAAGCTGTTTATTTGTGTAAATAAATTAAAAGTTAGGTATGAGATAAGTAAATGCATAAGAATTAGGTGCTATGTACGTAAACTTCCCTTAAGTTAAATAAGATTTAATAAAATACTACAAATTTGAATTTATCAAGTCATGAAATCATTAAATTCTTGAAATAGTTTGAAATGTTCGTAAGCAAATTATGTTAGATTCCGAGGAACAGATAAGTAAATGCATAAGAATTAGGTGCTATGTACCTAAACTTTCATTAAGCTAAATAAGATTTAATAAAATACAACAAATTTGAATTTATCATGTTATGAAATCATTAAATTGTTGAAATATTTTGAAATGTTCGTAAGCAAATTATGTTAGATTTTGAGGAATTCCGAGGAACTGTTCGACAGTTTAAGTTGTACTTAGCAAGATTTAGTTCAAAAAAACAAAATTTCATGTATGTTAAAATATAGCAACTCATCCAAAATAACATTACTACCATCAAAATCAAAACTATATTCATTGGAAGGTAAAAAAGTCGGCGCCGACCGTTCCATTGTAGAGCATGCTTGTTTTAATAGAAATCCGTAGTCATCTCAAACAAGCCCATGTGTCTACGACCAACTAGCTCTAAACATAGGCATTTCAAAGAAGAAATGGGTTGTAAACTGGGAGGTTATGTAGAACAAAGATTGTACTTATGTATGAATTTAGAAAGAGAATTAAGATCTTGATAAAGCACACAATCTTATTAATAAAGGCTGGAGAAGTACCTAAAATTTGTAGTAGCAATCATTACTATCACCAATATTGGGAATGAAATAATGTCAGTCACTCATAGGGCTGTCAAAACGGCTCTTTGTTCTCGAAAGCTCTTGTTCGGCTCGTTAAGAAGCTCGTGTTCAGCTCGTTCGCTAAGTTAACGAGCCGAACACGAATTTGTTCATGTTGTTCGTGTTCGGCTCGTTTTGGATCAAAATACTTCTAATCAATTATATATATATATATATTTGATGAGTAGTATTTTAAAAAAAATTAATTGACTACAAGGCTACAAAGATTTATAATCAATTAAAAGTATTAATGAAAAAAATAGAATAAAAATTATTAATTTAAATTCAAATGATGTTTTAAATCTTGCCCAATTCCTTAAAATCTTATGACTACGTGATTAGGGTTGTCAAAATGACTCTTAACGAGCGAGCCTGGGTTCGGCTCGTTTACACCCCTAGTCACTCATCGAAAAATATGGCAAGACATCTTAGTTTGAAACTTTTTTATGTCCAACTAGTTAAACTAATGCAAATCAATCACCTAAAAACAACATTATTTCCGAATTATATTATATTATATTATATTATACTATATATATATATATATATAATTTCGTAATTTGCATATAATACTGCAAATTTTCTGTACTTCATGCAAATTCATAAAGCTATTGTAAATTTAAATATCTCTCAAAATTATTTCAGAATTTATAATAAGAAAAAAAGATGCTCAAAGATTATAAAAACACAACAAAAAAAACCAAACATAATGTTTATTATACAGACTTAAAGCACCTAAGTGAACTGCTGCTGCTCAACATGATTGCAGACATTTTCATCTTATTAGCCTCACATCACAGTATTTCTTTATTGTACCGTCAGTGAAAATAAACCTGAATAAAGATTTTATCCATTGCTGATAAATCTGAAACAAAAAGCGGCCTTATTCTCCTTCACCAAAATGAAGCAGCTAATTCGCACCTGCACGAGGAAGCAGACAATCAGTCATACAACAACTAACTATTTATTACAAGACTGATATAAATCCTTTTCAAGTGAGGTACGCATTCATTAGTTTTAAATTTAAAATTGAATCAAACCAAATATATTCAATTGATTTGGTCCGAGTTTTTATTTTGAATTAAGTTATATTTAGATTTCAGTTCTTGATCCAATTAAAAAAAAAAACTTTTGCATATGTATTTAGATATATGAACCTATAAATATGTATGTACGTGTGTGTGTGTGTGTGTGTGTGTGTGTGTGTGTGTGTGTGTGTGTGTGTGTG